CCCTTGGTGGGCTTCGCCCCAATCTAGCTGGTTGGGGATTTTTTTGCTCTAAGGCCGTAACTTTTGATTTTTGGCTCTAGGGCCGGGATTTGGATTTGGCACTAGGGCTGAAGTTGGGATTTGGCACTGGGGCCAGGATTTGGATTGGGCACTTAGGCCGAAATTTGGATTTAGCACTGGTGCCGGAGATTTTGATTTTCGCACTAGGGTCGGGATTTGGATTTTGGCACTGGGGTCGAAATTTTGTTTTTTTATTTATCTAGTGCAAGATTTGGATTTTGGCACTAGGGCCGAAATTTTGTTTTTTTATTTATTTTGGCACTGAGGCTAGGGATTTTGATTTTTGGCACTGAGGCCAGGGATTTTGATTTTTGGCACTAGGATCGGGATTTGGATTTTGGCACTAGGGCCATAATTTTTTTTTATTTTGGCATTGGGGCCAGAGATTTTGATTTTTAGCTCTAAGGCCGGAGATTTTGATTTTTGGCACTGGGGCAGCGATTTGGATTAGGCCTTGGGGCCACGATTTGGATTTGGCACTGGGGTCAGCATTTGGATTTGGCACTAGGGCTGGGATTTTGTTTTGGATTTGACACTGGGGGCGGAATTTGGATTTGAATTTGACACTGGAGCAGCTTTACCGTTAAAATGTTAAGTGCACATTTACCTGCACTCTCCTTTTTTTTAGAGAGAGAAAAAAAAAAACTAGTTTCTTTGGTCCACCCTCATCTCTTTAATTCCAAGGTCACCCTAGACTCGATCAGCCTTTGATTAATCAAATGGTTGCCCCAATGAAAGTCTGGGGATTCCAAAAGCTCTCTTTACCATTCAATTTTTTCAATGGAAAACAAAAAAGTAAGGACGGCTAAAAGTACATCGGCCTTACACACATATTGGGATGTCAATGAATCACTATTATACCTATAAACCAAAAAAACCAAGTAGAACATGGCCCCGAGAGAGAGAGAGAGAAGGAGAGGTATGTGTGTGAGAGAGAGAGAGGTGTCGGAGAGAGAGTACCAAATAACATTTCCATACAAACATACTAATATGACCTAAGATTGTCAAAATCCAAATCATTTTACATTTTTGTTCCAAACAAGATAGAGATATATATCAACTAAACTAGAAGTGTATAACTTCCATAAAACATATACCCATTTTTTTACAAGAAAAAGAGGTAAACATCAAAATCAGCAATATAACTATACATATGAGGGTAACTTTAACAACTGCTTTCTTAGGGACCATATCTACAGTTTGCGCCACTCTTTTTCACACACATCTTGGTCTACTCCATCAGCAATACAAGCATCTGGCCTCATAGACACGAACGTTTTAACCGCATGCTTCCTATCTTAACCTAGGTTCTCATCACATCATGATAAATAGCCGCATCCAGTGTCATCCCAGTGGTTTACACAATAAAATACAAGGATTATAGTTATATGCTTACAATTGAACACCAATATGCTTCTACGTTATGTTAATGAATAAATATGACGTACCTTCCAATCATAGCATTGGTAGAAAGGCCTATTGTAGTTATCTCGTGTCATTGCCTTAAACACACACATCCGACTACATCTTGGCTTACGAATACAAATCAATGGAGGGAATTAGTTGTCCGGATCCATTCAGTCAAGAATCAATTGGTTTCCGATTTGGATACTTTTTAGAAATACAAACTTAGATATAAGACAAGTAGTACAATATAGATGATCATGTTATACTGTTAGAACACCGACGGACACAAACTTTGGATAATAGTCCACTTCTGTTCATTGACATTCAACTCTTTATTTGAATTTATTCGAATGAAAAATATAATCTGAACTACAAACAATTGCAAATCACCACAAGAACAATCTTAAAGCTTCAAAAGGTACCATGTTATGGAGATAAATTGGGTGGACATAGTTATGCATTAGTAACTAGTATATGGTGTTTGATAAAGATCACTTCAAGAAGGTACTATATTATGGAGAACAATTGATTCAAGATTCTACTTCGACATACTTATGCACCAGCAACTAGCATATGGTGCTTCATGAATAAACAAAGACAAACTAATGCCTGAAATAAACAAATAGCTTTGTTACGGGTCTGATATAAAAAGTGAATGCAACCAATTAATTTAGAGCTTTAAACCAAAGAAATTAAGAGTGAACGTCTCAAGGCCATCAAGTAATGTAGGAGCTTGAACCAAATACAGTAATGAAACAATGACTAATTCAGGGTCTATCTTGCAAAATAGAAATCTGGGGCCGAAATGGCCCTAAACTTTCAATTGAAATGCCAGCAATCACTATTCTTTGTTTCCAAATATCTGTAAAAACTAACCAATATTCCTGCTAGAGACCAACCCTCATGTGGAAAATAACATACTCAACAAAAGTTCACCAAAATCAAGCTAAATTTTTTATTTTTTGTAAAAATCCTGCAAAAAGTTTGATGTAGACGAACATATTTCATTGAAATGGAGCATTTAGGGATAGTGTAAATCGCCACAGCCATCAGAAGAGAAAAAGCTATAAAACTAGGGCTTTGAATCCATACCTGAAATAGGGCTTTTACTCCGTCTGAGAAGGGAGACAGTTGCAGTTTGCTTCACCAATATTCCCACCAGAGGCCAACCCACATGTGGAACATAACAGGCTTGCCAAAAGTTAACCATAGTCCAGCAAATTTTTTTTTGTTGGATGAAAATCCAACAAAAATTTGGATGTAGACGAACAAATTTCATTGAAATTAGGGGTAATGCAGAATTTATAGAAAAGTTACCACAAAAATTGTAGAAAAAAGAAGAAACTTGTATACAGATCCAGCCTCCAAAGCGACTATCTCTCTCCCTCTGTATGAGCATCATAACAAAACGCAATTCATAACAAAACCCATAGACAATTTTTTTTCAATATTATAAAGTAAAAGCATGACTGTTGTTGACAACAATAAGGAAATACTGTGTAGGAGCATCATAACAAAACCCAATTCATAAAATTAGGAAGCTTTTATTTAAAAATGCTATAAATATAGAACTATATTTGGAATAGTGGAGAATCTACTTATGAAAGTGTGTCAAACTACCTCACTCTTACTTTACAAAGTAATAACAAATATTGAAAGGCCAAAATCTATGTAAAGTTGTCACTTTACTTATAGAATAAGGTACAAAAATGGATCGATGACCCAGATCACCCATCTGAAAAATTGATTCAGATCAGTGATTCGACAGAGTGAATTGTCAAAAAAATAAATAAAAAATAGAGAACAAAAAACATTGAGAAAAATGTAAAAATAAAAAGGGGTTAATTCTGGCTGGTTATCTGATAGGATCATTCTGTTCTATGACAGTCTCCGCCTTTCTGCAAAACAGAATCCTTTCTGAACAAAATTCATGAAATAATCCTATTTTATTTGTTTTATTAGACTTATGCAATTGATCAGAATTCATCGTATAGCATAAGAAGATAGTGGTATTGGATCCCGCAACCCAACATGGCAATTGATACAACACAACTGAAACTCAAATGCACAATTTTAAAACTCGGCCGAGTAACACCTCAGCCAATGGGCGAGGTGAGTTTTGGGCGAGTTAGTTATATACAATATTTTTAAACTTTAACTAAAATATTACCTCAAATTTATATCATATAGGTTAGAATGGTGTACTGGTTAGTGCTGATGAGTAGACAACTAAAATAGTACCACAAATTTATATAATTTTGATTAGAATGGTATACTGGTTAGTGCTAAACGAGTAGACTTAACTAAAATATTACCGCAAATTTATATCATATTGATTAGAATGGTATTACTGGTTAGTGCTGACCAGTAGACTCTATACCTCAAATCAGGTTTCGAATCTTCCTTTGTCTTTTTTTTTAAGGCATCTCAATGTTTGTTCATTGAAAAAAGGCATCTCAATGTTTGTTCATTGAAAAGCTACCTGCATGTTTGTTCATTGAAAAGCTATCTGCCAAGAATCGAGTTCAAGACCTTTTATAAAAAGGGTCCTTTAGCAAGGCTAGCAAACCAGCACGCCATCGCTTACTTTACGGCACTTATATAATATATACTAATAAAACAAGTTGAACTTGGGTTACCGGACTCTCCTAAGTACCTTGACCAAGTAGATTTTTTAACACCACTCAAATGGCACCAGATCTTAATGTGTGATGGTCTCCGATTCAATGGAAAATAGAATTCTCTCCCTTCTTGTGGATTTTCTCATGTGTGATGATTTACAGATAAGGCCAAAGTTAGGGAAATTCGAAGTTTATCGGAAGAAATGTAAACAAAGCTTTTCTAAAATTCATTTACAAGATTACCCTTTTAACGATGTGAACACATAATTCAAGTGCAATGGTTAAATTAGAAGTTGAATGCCCTAAAATTTTTCAATCTGGCTATCTTGTAGCACAGTATCTAGTATTTGGTTGTTTTATGTATGAACCATCTTGCAATGGTTGATCCCCCTTTCAATTTACAAAAAGGAGAAAGACCAGAAGCTCTAGTGTACTGCATTCCATAAAGGAACGAGTGAGAAATTTACTAAAAAGAAAAGTAGCTGAAGGTTGTACTGCATTACATCAAGGAACGAGTGAGAAAACATGTCATTGTGCTAAGATGGATTCAATCTATGGAGAGATTCAAAAAGTGAAATCATTGTGTCTTGATGCCTACTTCAACATGCAGGTGGAGCAAACCATTGAAGAAGTGGGGGCTGTCATCGGCGATGAATGAGGTCCACAGAGTGGGGAAGTTGTAACACCGCCCACATGTAATCCCTTTGACGAAGCTATCCTCCAACATCGCAGTGGTTTTAAATTTCTTACTTGACTTCGATCTAGATGCAAAGGTGTACTGGGTGACAACCCTGTCCAATCCCTCCTCCATATCAAGGTAAAGACCAAAGGAATGGGAAGAGTTATCCTCAATTTGGTGGCATTGAACACGGAGGGAGAAGGTATTGTCATTCAAGTAGAACAACTGTGAGTTTATGGATCTGTTGGAAAGAGGGCAGCACACTCCTCTCGCTGAAGGTCCATGAACACCAGGCACTTGGCAGGGTTTTCTGCCAATTGTATTACCTTTAATGGGGGGCGCTTGTACGCACAGTTGGCCACACAATGCCTGAGTTCAGCCTCCTCTGCCTTGACAATAAACTCCCTTGCCACCAATTCGATGTCTTCACATTCGAGGACCACCTTCTGCTTGTGGGTTGACATGGAGGAAAAGCATATGGCAGGGACAATATGTGAGCCCAAAATCTCACGTCGCTCCTCAAAATTGGGGTACTTAGCATGTGCCCACTCGAGGGCAAGATCAAATACAACATCACCCAATCCCACATGCAGCTCGTAGCTTGAGAGCACTGCCTCGATGGCAGACAGAGGCAAGGCCATCAGCTCGTCATGAGACCTGCATCATAGCAGTTCTATATGCAAATGAAAGAGCATTAACATTTCATAAATTTCAAATTTGATCAAAGGATAAATCAAGACGATGACAATTCTTGCAATCCATGAAAATTCATCTTATAGTCAATGCCACACAATTAGAAGATCAACATATATATATGTATACACAGGTTCATATTTTTTGCATTATATTCATTTCTATTTCAAGATGAATGACAATTCCACTTATGAGCTCCAGATTGCTTTGAGTCCCTTCTATTTTATTTTATTTTCTTGAGCAAATGTTGGAAGCGTTCAAGTCCCTTATAATCATAACTGAGAAATGAGGTCCTTCCACCAAAATCCTTATCTTTAGCACCAAATTAGGGTTTCATCCTGCATCCTCCAACAATTCAAAACTGCTCCTTCAAAAGATCCTGATACGGTAAGCACATTGCTTCTTCATTGAAAGATGCAAATGGAAGTAAGAAAGGATTGTAGAAAGCCTGTTCTAGTAGATCTGGCAGACCCTCTAATACACTAGCATGATCTGAGTTGCCAGGCTTAATGACTAAGCAGTTCAAAGATACATTGACATTATAGATCTGCTCTAGGTGGACCAGACAGACATTTCACTATATATATTTCCCTAAAAATATTTATCCAAAACTAAATATATTTCCCTAAAGTTGGAGATAGCCACCAATCCTTAACTTCAAGGCTCTGCCAGTAAGAGTTCCTTCAAACTATTTTCCTATTACCTTTTTTCACCTAGTGTTACCCTTGTGGGTTACCTCAGCCAATAAGAATATGTTGGTTGTTAATTTCAAAATCCTAGTTGATTCATTTAATTTGTGAAACTAACAAAAAAGTAAAAGAATTAATGAAAGGAATTGGAATTGAGGAAATGAAGTGATTAATCAGCGGGTAAACCCAAACTGGTAAAATTTTTTATTTTATGTTTTGTTTATTCCTAAGGATTTCTCCAAAAAGCTTTGACATTATGAAACTTACAAGTAAAATGTTTCAGCAGTGAATTCAAGAAACATGATTTATCAATGTGTTGTACAATATCCCCAATCCTAGAGTCTTTGTTTTCATGTATATTCCAATCAATGGTACGCAAATAAGCATGCAACTAACACAATGGCTAATTAAACATGCAAGCACTCCAAGAAAGAGAAAGCTTACTCAAATAAATCCTGATACTGTTTGGCAAGGTACTGCTTTGAAACAACAACAAGAGGTCGTATTGCATCTATCATTCTATAAGGATGCTCAAGATATTTTATAGCACATTCTCGAGTCATGGGAAGACTACCCAGCAACTTGCTACAGTGATGCACACAGGAAGCAACCTCAAATTTGTCAGCAACCACCAACAAATCCAGCAACAATGCTAGATCATTTGTTGATATCATCCCGAAGTACGTAAACTGCAATATAGCTCCATGAAAGCATCCTCCTCTGTTCCAAATGTGAGATGTTTCAAGCTCAATATGATTTTTCATATTGTATCCAAAGGTTTTCAACATAAACAATAATATGCAAGCATACTAACTAGTAAGGCAACCATCACAAGGGATGCTTTGGTCATTTACTTTTGTATAGAATTTAGGGGTAGCCTACAAAATGTTATTTAGCCAATAGTACGCTTTAGTAACAGACGTTCGTAAGATAGATATTCTATTTTCAGCAAGTTTTCATGGGTTTTAAGGTATTGTTTGACTCTCAATAGGAATTTGGATAAGGGCAAGCTTTTTATGCTTCCCCTACAACATAAAACTTATATACTTCCCCTTATCCGACTGTCCATTTGGAATGGAGGGCTAAGATTGCCCCAATCACAATGTAACATCTCTACATCATTTTATTTTTAATTTTTTTATATAAACTATTTTGACACTAAAATTTGTACGTCCAATCCTCTATTAAACTCGCACTAGAGAAAAATATAAAAAAAAATTTCCAATAAAATAAAATAACCAAAATACCTTTGAAAATTTTAAGGGGTATTTTGGTCATTATATTTTATCGAAAAATTATTTTTAAACATTTTTTATAGGTGCGTCCCAATGAGAAGATGGCACGTACCAAATTTCATATTCATACAATTTGTATTAAAAAAAAAAATACTTAAAGTCGGATCTAAGATCAAATCGTGAGTGGCTCTCTTGATCAAAACTGGACGGCTGGATGGTAGGAGAAGCATAGATCTTCTATGCTAAGGAGGAAGTATAGAAACCTTTCTCTTTGGATATTAGACGGTGTGTGGGGGATCCGCTCTGCTCTTTGTAACATTCAGTTTAATCCATTTATAATTGTTCTTGTCTCTTCCTATGCAAAATTATTGCTCTAGTTGTACGTGCTACATTGTCTTTTCATTTACATTAAATAGTCAGAACACTAAGGACAATCTAAATCACACCATAGGTTCATGCAAATCACCTAGGGCTCAATGGACATAACCCGTGCCCAAATTTAACCCCAAACAGATAGATATTTTATTCTTTTTCTTTTCTTTTGATTGTATTGATTGTTTGTCTTAAACCTTGCCAATCCTATATAGTCCCCTAGCTAGTCAACCTGACATTTATATCAGTCCTAATTTACTTTCCAAGACAATAAATCAATAAATGCATGAACTTTTATTGACAAGTTCAAAATTCTAATACTACCCTAGACATCTCTTCAGTAATACCAAATAGATGTTGAGTATAGATAACAACACTTTATCTGTTTCCATTACAACACAATCAAAAAACTCTGGAAGCAACAACATTCTGAGTTAGAATAAAGAATTATTGCACATTTGCATGGAAGTTGTAGTTGCCTTTCGCATTTCACATGGGAAAGGTGCTTTGGTTATTCTTTCCTTCATAACGTTTGTATTTGATAGAACTTACCTGAAGCACTGATTCGTAGCTTCACATCTCTTTGCTCTGATTCAGGCATGCCATTCAAGAAAAGCTTCAAAAAAAAAAGTGTCATGTTGGTGATTTCATTTTTAGGTCAAGGTAATAGACGTAAACAACTTGAAGCATAATCCTATATTACCTTGTAAAAATAAGGGTTTCTCGAAGCCAATATTGTAGAATTGATATGTAACTTCCTTACTCTCAGAACTGGGGAACAATCTTTGCTCCAAGTTGGAACACTGTACACCTCCTATTAAGGCAATAATAGGAGGTGTACAGTCTAATCTTGTCACTGAAAGAGTTTGGTTTAAAATAAAACCTAATTATTTCATCTTAGTGCTAGATAAAAACATTCAAGATACTGTCAAAATTTTAATCCAAACAAAAAATATTAAAATGAAATGAGATAGTTTTGATCTTGCAATAGAATGAAAGACAATCAATGAATCAGTATGACTAAGACTTCTACAAAGAATATTGACAATAGATTTGTAGAAATCTTTGAATCTCGTAACTTTGATACAGAAATCCAACCAAGATTAATCAACTGGCGAGATCTTGAGATCTCTTCTAATTGGCTAATTGAAAATTTTACAGAAAAAACTTCCAAAAAAGAAGTATGTCTATTACTTTCCAAGCCTTTGAAAACAATATATATTTTAATGATCTACGCTTCTCTAATAAAAGATTAAGCTTTGAAAAACCCAGAAATTTTATTGAAGAAAGAAGAATGAGTTTCGAACAACCTTATCAAAATCAAAAGCTATAGTAAACCAAAAACCATTGGGATACAAGAATATTCAAATTCATATATTTCTTGGATCTAGTTCTTCTCTACAAACAGAAGCAGATGAGCAAAAAAATAATCAATAATATCAAGAAGAGACTCAACAATCCATAACTATATCTAGAATGAAAATAGGAGATGAAAAAAATCATCTTTTCACATAATCAAAACTGAAAGCGATATATGTTCGTTTTAGGTAAATTTAATTTTTCAAGATATAAATCATATTATCTTGATATTCTAATTGATATAGGAGCAACAACATGTGTCTGCAGCCCAACTACATTACCATTAGAAAAATGGGAAAAAAATGAATACTTCGTTACATACAATTGGTAATGATGATAATAATACTCAAATAGAGTATAAAGCCGAAAAATTATCAGTTTGGTTAAGAAATACAAAAAAATTATTCCAAAAATTTTATATTCCAAAAATTCTATGTTTTCTTTTTATGCATGGTGATTTTATTTTTGAAAATAACTTTCCTTCAAAATCACTATCCAACACCAAGCTCATTTTTATCCTAAAAGGTGAGAAGGTATCAATACCAATACTTGTTGAACACAAGTATAGATGCCAAATAGGGTTGACGCCATAAAAACGTGGTGAGTATTTAAATGAAATAAAAGAACGTAATGAGAATCATTGGGTTTACCAAATACGTTAACCAAATTTTAGTGAAAATCCTTTAAAGCTATGGTCTAGAAATCCTAGATACTTTAGTTTAAAACTCTGTGATCCAAACAAGATTATCAGAGTAAAACCAATGATCTATACTAAAAAATATATAGACAAGTTTTCGATTCAAATAAAAGATCTTTTAGAAAAATGACTAATAGAGACAACCACAAGTCCACATTCTAGTCTTCCATTTATGATAAGAAACCATAATGAAGAAGAAAGAAGTAAAGCCAGAATGATTATAAATTACCAAACATTGAATGAAAATCTAGAGTTTGACGGATACTTTATACCTAGAAAAGATGTACTAATTCATCAAACAAAAAATGCTAATTACTTTAGCAAATTTGATTACAAATTAGGCTTTTGGCAAATAATGTTGACAAAAGAGTCAAAACCCTTTATTGTTTTTAGTGCACCCTACAGCCATTATCAATGAAAGATCATGTCATTTGGTTTATGTAATGCTCCTCAAATCTTTCAAAGATGGATGGACAAAATCTTTTCAGATCTAAAAGAATTTTATATTATTTATATTAATGACGTTTTGGTATTTTCTAAAACCCTAGAGGACCATAGAAAACATCTACAAATAATATGTAATAAATCCCGAGATAATGGAATTATACTAAGTCCTAAAAAGATTGAAGTTGAAAAAACATCAATCAATTTTTTTAGAATAATCTTAGACCAAAACAGAATAAGACTACAAGAACATATTATTGTCAAAATTAAAAATTTTTATGATAAAATTGTAGATAAAAAACATCTACAAAGTTCTTTAAGAATTCTTAATTATGGAAGAAATTTTATCTCAAATATCTTTAAAAAAGAGAAAAACCTTTATTAGAGAAACTCAAGAAAGATAAAAATTTGCTTGGGATGAAAAGGACTCAGCTAGCGTCATACAGATTAAAGCTGAACTTGAAAATATACCAACAGTTGATTTTCCTAAAAAGGAAGATAAACTAATCGTTGAAACTGATACTTCAAATGAAAATTGAGAAGCAGTTTTAAAAGCAGTAGTAAATAAGTGGATATAACTCAGGCAAATTTAAGACTAATGAGGAAAATTATATCACATATAAAAATGAACTATTAGCCGCTCTCAATAGAATAAAAAGATTCCATATATATTTAACACCAGAAAACTTTATTATCAAAATAGATAATAAAGCGATAAGAGATTTTCTAAAAAGTAGTAAATGAGAAACAAACCCCAAAAGGATTCATTGGTCTACTACTTTTCATAATTATAGCTCTGAAGTTGAATATATTAAAGGTACTGACAATATTCTTATAGACTCTTTAGCAAGAATCCCGAATAATTTTCAGATGGACAAAGAAAAACAGTCACTCCTAAACATGGGGAAGAAAGAAATTCCTAAACAAGGAAGAGAAAGAGAGATAAATTTGAAGACTAGCCAGATGCCAAGCCAGAAGAATATATCAAAAGATACCCCTCTTTATTTTTCTCCATTTGCTCAAGACCCAAATCCTAAACCTCTATCTTAGTCAGAAATAGTAAGATTATATGAGAGTTTTTCACGATTACATGAAAACTATATGCTTCCATCAGAGACTAGACCAGTCCCAGACTTTTATCATAATCCTCATATTCTTATGGCAAACTATGAAGTACTAAATGAAGTATAGAAAAACCATATCTTAAATAATAAATGAAAGTTTCGAAAACACATGGGAAGATTATCAAACCTGATAGCAAGTCAGACTATGTCATTTTCAAAAAAAAAAAAAATTTATTTGAATCCATTAAACAAATGGATTGGAGTGAGGGATTCACTTTTGAAAAAATAAACAGTTTTTCGAAATATCCCAATACCTGGATAATCAATCCAGTGATTCAATATTCGAAAAAATAAAACGAATTTGTTTCTACGAGAATGCCAAATAGGTACTTCCTCCTGAAATATTTTCTAAAATATTATCAGACTAATAGAGAACAGTTTTTTTGAGTTACTAAACGAGTACACCTATAATATTTATTGTATTTATCAAACTCTCCCAAATTGATATTTTATATAAATCATGAACCTTGGAGTCAAGATGTAATAAATGGAGATTAACTGGAAAAGTTGTATTTGAGCATCTAGATTGGATGCAATTACAAAGTTTTTCAAATTTCATTAAAAGTATGATATTTTGGGTCTCTAAAACATGGAGGTTCAATTCTTACTTAACATTTCATATAACCAACACCATTGGTTGGAGAAGTAGGGAAAGATTCTTTCAGTCATATCAAATATGGCATCTTGAAGAAGCTTCAGATAATGATTTTCTATTAACCGAAGGACAAAATTGAAATCATAATGAGATTTCTACTATGGACATAAAAACATAGTTTATTAGAAATCTTATAAATTTCATAACTGAAGCTAGATCAAATTTAAATAATCATGCCTTCAATGTAACTGGTCGAAGATGATTGTTCACAACTTATCTACCATCAAGTTACACCCGAAGTCCAGAGCAAATTATTGAGGCACATGAATATTTGGAGAAATGTTGTGACTTCAATAAAATGGACATTCTTTTAGATCTACTCCTAGAAACATAAGAGATTGTTGAAGGTCAAGAAAATAAAGAAGATCAAAATCCAAATAGTCTCGAAAGTTTCAATTTCGATAGTATTGGAGAAGCCAATCTTGATAACATGATGGAAAGTTGAAGAAGCATGGTGGGACTATATAGATACTTACTATACAAATAAAGTATATGATAATATTGATCGGACGGTACGACTGCAACTTTATCCAGCACAAAAGTCCGACAAAGATGATGCCGACAGGAACAATACGTGTTCTACTTACACTCGCCGACAGTACGGACACAACACGTGTTTTACTTTCACTGTGCAATATATTGTATGAATTCCTTTTTCATACAATTATTCAAAACTTTTACTGTTCAAGATGCCCGGACATACACTATTCAAGATAAAAAAGAATATTTATCTTTATACTATGTGAAGCCTTTTCGAAGTTATATAAGGGAAGCTCATCCCTTATTAGAGGTATCGAGTCTCAAGGTATTGAGTTCTTCTTCTTCTCTCTTTACCTCTTTAGTTTGAGTTCTTGATTTCAACTCACTTTCTTTTCTTGGAGTATTGAGTTCTTCTTCAAGTATTGTTTATCTATCAGTCTAGACTGATTGTCTATCAGTCTGTTGTAAATGATAGACTGATTATCTATCAGTCTATTGTAAATGCCCCACTTTCATCATAACATAGGTCAGGAAGAGGTCTCTCACAAAATAGATGCCTTTCCAAATAGAGGAAGAGGATCTACCAGTTATCAACCTCTTAGGAAAAAGTCCCGATCCATTTCATATTTTGTGAGGATGATTTTTTGTCATTCCATTTTAGGCTCCGAGCTCACCCTCCACCACCATTTAGTAAGCAGTGTACCATCGAAGTACTTCAATCTCTGAATCCCCAAGCCCGCTCCACATTTTGGTCTGCAAACCATCTCCCATTTGACCAAATTGTACTTGTGTTGTTCCAGAGAGGCACTCCACAGAAAATTCCTCGTAAGAAGTTTCAATTTCTGGAGCACAAAAGCTTGGGCTCGAAAAAGGGAGAGGAAATAGACCTGCAATACTAGCCATCGTAAAGTTGATCAAGGTGATTCTGCCCTCGAATGAGAGATACATGCTTTTCCACCCATCCAACTTAAATTTTGCTCTCCAAATAATAGGATCCCAGGCTGATACAAGCAATCTGCCATCAACAAGTGGAAGCCCTAGGTAAATATGTAGAAGGAAATTCTTCTAACCCACAGCCCAGCCAATTTGCTCAAATTCTCAAGTCTTCTTTATCACAATTAATCCCAATTAATTTGGACTTGGATAGATTAATCTTGGCTCCCGAAATCAGTTCATAGCATCTGAGAAACAACCAAACATTTTGAACCTACTCAAGGGATGCACTGGTCAGCAACATTGTGTCATCTGCATACTGTAGATGGGAAACAGACTTGTCATAGCCTTGAACCTTGAGGTTTTCTTCGAGTGACTGGTAAGAAAGTTGCTTGTCCTATATTTTATAATTATTGGTACAGTCCCTAAAGAATATTCCTCCATGACCTTATTTACTTAACCAAATAATAGAAGGAAAAATTAAGCTTAGACCGGGATTTTTCATTGCACTATTGTACCATCCAATTTCTTCATAATTCTATGTAGAAGTCCCTCCATTTTGTGCCTTCTTTTAATTCCAATTTTTCCACTAGCCCAATATTTGCAATACGAAACTGGTTTTTTACTTTGTTTTATTTTATTTTGAAACTTTCGTTGTTTATGGCACAGTTTGATGCGTTTATGGCACAGTTTGATGCCTCAAATATGAGTCGGCCCATTCTAGAGCAATCCGATGTTGGAAACATCAGACAGCCCCGTACTTTGTATTCTTTTTATTATTTTGGGTATTTATTTTGTATTATTTTTAAGGCATACAAGTCCTATGTTGGAGACATTAGATTGCACTTAAAAGGGGGGGGGGGTGGGGGGGGGGTGGGGAAGGCGTCCAATATCAAACCGGTGTACTTAAAAAAAAAAAATTTCTACTAAGGTACAAAGTGAGTGGTGTGATATTAAAAAATCAGACCACCCCATAAATGGGTTGGCCGATATCTGTGGCATCAAACTGCCCAAAAACAACAAAAATAAAAATAAAAATAAAACAAAAAAAAACCAATCCAATATTTATAATATTGGATCGATTAGAATATTAAAAAAAAAAAGTGTGAGAGGGACGTCCACATAAAATTCTTAAAAAATTGGATGAAACCAAAATATTGCGAAAAAAATCTGTTCCTTATATAATATTCCATAAAATAGAAAAAGTAAAGTTCAAAAGAAAATAATTGGAACCATGATCCTTAACCAGTTTACAACGACTCATTGCTACAAGAGAGAATTGAAAGTGTGGTCGATTGAACTGTTTGTTGAGCTATTCAAGTTCTTTTGAAAGATGCTCGCTTCACTTAATATCTAGGCAATGAGATTGAGATCATTTGTTTATATGATCACCAGCATAGAAGTTAAAGCTAGTGTCTTTAGACATGGATTGGGCCGTTAGATCAGTCACCAGCTCAACCGATCCGGATTGGCAATCCATCGATAATCGACGATATTTTTTACATTTCCCATTTTTTTGAAACATTTCACTTTGTGCACAATTCTTTAAAATCCATTTTTTTCATTAATTTCAACTTCATTTGAATGTACTTTTTTTTAACACTTTTTGCATTGTCACCGATTAAGCTGGTTGAACCGCTTCTTGCCCAAGTTCACTTAACTGATTAGGTCGATTTTTCTTTCATGTTTGTTGCATAACCATTTAATTCTTCCGTTCTTTTTACTTTTAGAGTGACCACTTGGTCCAAATACTCGCTTGGAACTCATACTATTTTAAGATGGCCACGGTTAGCATGCAACCAAGCCCACACATGTACAAATGCAGCATTGGCAATAAATATATATTTTTAAATATAATTTGCGGAATATACAATCTTTAAAATGGAGATCATGAATATGAAAAAATAAATAAATTTTAAAAATTAGAAATAATAATTATATTAAAAAAACATTTAGACCGTTAATTACAATTATTTTTAGATGGACCACCTATTTGCATGCATCTTTAAGATGGATCTCCTGAAGATGGATCTCCTGACCGCATGTTGTACAAACGCGGTCAAGCCCGCATGAGACAATTGATGCTACGAACCAAATTCCCAATACGCTAGCTAAAGACTAATAAACTTCCCATTTGAAATATACAAACATGCTACAAACCAATACATAAATAACATTGGTCCACCAATTGAAGCTCCTAATCCTAAAAGCAAAGAGGATTTGCTAACAGGGTAAATGACCCATGAGAAAAAGGAGTAGAAAAAGTTGAAAGAAAATGACCAATGAGAGATAAACAATGAGCAAGAAAAGTAGAAGGTAGAAGAACACCATGCATATATCACTGCTCTTTCCATATCCTTCCTGTCACCCTAAGCTTCAACTCTTTCCTGTCACCCCCTGAGAAGAAGAGAGCCATATTCCTTTGTATAATTAACCCATCGTAACTGTCTCGAACCTTCCTGTGACTGTCTCTTATGCTTCTTGGGACCCCTTGCCAAATCATCTTCCTACCGTTTGCACCCACTTCAAGACTGTAGCTGTAATTCTTGGCCTCGTTGTCATCACCCATGAAGCGTAGAAAAGCTATATATACGGGTGCTATTCCAAGCTGAAAGGCTTCAAAGTGCAGGCAGAAATACTGGCCAAAGCAACTGAACACCTGAACAAGCCACAAGGGTTTTGATAAAGAGTAACTGTGACCTGGTTGATTAAGAATAACATGGCACTAGGGACTAAAAGTGGTACATTGAAGACGGTCATTTTGAAAGAGGACTTAAGTAGCCCAAAATGAAATTCAAATAAATCTCACCTTAGTCTACGTAGGAAACACCTAATCCTAACCAAGGTAATGTTTATTTATCACAGATGGTGGACAGAATTCTTTTTGTTTTAGCATGTTTAGGAATTATCCAAATTACTTCTGTAGAATATTCAATTCTGACATTTTTAAAGTTTCATTCATTTACCAGAATTATATGTGGCGGCATTAGCTAGTTAAAACTATATATGTTTTCTATTTGCTTGCAGATAATCTGCTCTCTCTCTCTCTCTCTCTCTCTCTCTCTCACCACACACACACACACACACAAAGATAATAAGTGAGAACTCTTACCGTTAACATCCACGTGGCATTGCCAACCTCGTGAGGATTGGCCTTGACATATCGGTGGTTGAAGGTACTGCCACTGTGCATGTCCACTTTGTGATCATCTTTCAAATGAGCCACCAAAGATGGAATATCACCAACCACAGAGCACTCTGAGCCAGCATAGGGGCAGTTGTATGGTCTAAACGTGCACTGAGCTTCGTGCTTTAGCTTACTGTAGTAAGGGAATATACCATTGCAACCGAAACTCTGGTACTTGCATGGCAACTCAAGAGAAGATGCCACTTTCTCCAATGCCAAGCATCTAATATTGCCAAGCTCATGCCTACAGGTCGGGCATCGATTGTGGACTCTTGGCTTGCACCCAGAACACAGTGTATGGCCATTTGAGCACTGAAATCAGAGCACAATGATCCCAAGTTGAAACATCCATCATGAGAGAGAAATGATATTTATTGCAAGAGAAATAAAGTACTGATGGGTATAGATGTCAATATTTCATCCTGACTTAGTGACAAGGTATGGCCATCTCACAGAAAACTTACACAATTGAACTTAATAATGAAAGACTCGAATGTTAGTGTTGGAGAGAAAATTGCAATGGGTATAGATGCTACACACAAAGCAATAACACAATATTCAATGTAACAAACAGCTAACAGCCAATTTGAAATAACCTTTAAGTTAAAATTAGCCTTGACAAGGATGAAGGATCATCATCATCATCATCATAGCCTTCTCCCAATTAATTGGGGTCCGCTAGGGTGAAGGATATTATTGTTAAATAAATTTGGATCATCATGGATATAGGCTGTACTCAGAAAAAAGCTATATAACTTTAATTCTATTAATTTACCTACTATGTTGTAAGTTATGACTGAATGTTACTATGGACATGAGTCAAATGATTTCATTGAGGGATGGGGGTTCCCAGATCTTCATTATTTGGGGCACAATCTTAAGGTAGAAGCCAACTCCCCATCCAAGTGGCCTTTTGCATCTTAAATACTTTTATTTTGTGTACTCATACATTATGTACAACTTATACACATTAATGAAATTAGTAGTTAGCCATCAAAAATGTTGCTCTGATATAGAAGTGCAGAAGTTATATATATACTATTCTTGAAACAAGACAAAAGCGCTTATTCATGAATCCTCTATCCTCCCATCAAGTAATCATATCAGGCATTCAGGCCACAATGAAACCATGGAAAGAAATAGAAGGCACAAATCCATTAATATATAACTCTATGTTGATGTCTATTTCCAAAGAATGCAAAAGTGCATATGCAGGTAAGCACAAACAAATCACAAGAAGAAATTCATGACAAAACAATAACTAGGCCATCCTGAAAGATTTAAAGAAACAAAAAAGTGTTTGTGTGAAAATTAGAACGAATATTGAATTGAAGAAACATAAAGTTGCAATCTGATCATTATCCTGGTACATTATACACAAGATCATACACAACACATTCACCAAAAGAAAAGGTTAGTATAATTTTTGTCCATAAATAGGCCAAAACTAGACTAAAATAATGAAAAAGGTAAGAAAAGGAAAACATTTGAAACACATTTGTTTTCTATAAGCAAGAGTCCCTTACTTAAGAATGGGTAGTATAGATGAACTGGCAATCTCATCTAGACCAAGATGGGTTTCTTTAAACAGAATAACAAGGCAGAATTTCAAGTCACTATGTAAACTGGAATCATGTAACCCATAGGCACGCAGGGGTACTTAGAGACACGAGCAACTTGGAAAGGCAGAAGGAACTCATTAAATAATGGTATTTATGATAACTTGGAAGGACCAAAGGGGCTCATATATTTGGTGAAGGAAAAATACCAAAACTGAAGGTGAAATAGACAAAATAAGTGAAGATAAATCTTACCAAGCATGCATTATAGGGGTTAAGGCTCCTAGAGTAATAGGATGTCGATTTCACCAAGGAGATGGCATCTAGAAAATGGATGCAGCAATCATAGAATTGAATGAACAGTGCCAAACAACTGAGCAAGCAAAAGCTTGTTTAGAGCAATGGAATTGTATGTGGTTCACTCCTTGTGCTCCACTTAAAATGTGCAAACTCCATTAATGAAAAACCTTTGCAGAATTGGCGCTGACCAGGAGACATATTCGAAGACTGTATTTAACAAAGAAAATACCAGAAAAAATTTCTGTGTGTTCCATAAATGGTTGATTTCCTAAATAAATAAAACATACGAAAACCTAAAACTTGCAACAATGTCGACAAACTGATCCCAAAAACCATAAATAAGTTGGACTTGGAAAGTGTAGCTTTTACACCCAGAGGTGGGGGGCAAACAGCAAAACCAATTTGAAGTACCAGCAAGAACCTACCAAAATTTCAATATCAGGTTTGAAGGAATCTCAAATAACACATTAACCTGGAAGATGTCCTGACCATGAAAGGGAACATCTACAAATGCCAGGGTTATGACACGTTGTGAACCTTGCATTGGCGACTTGATGGAAATGATTTGCTTGTGAAACTCTGGATTATGCTACTATAGGGGTGCACATTACATGGTGGATGTCAAGGTTTGCCTGAAGTTTGTTTCAATAATTATTTGGAGGATCCACAGTTTAAAAGAAATTGCACAAACTAGAAAAAAAAATATTGTTTTACTTTTTTCAGTGATTTCTTGACAACCAAATATATCATCTTAGCGTGAGTCAACGTCAATGATGTTTCGACGAAGATCACTATATCAGTGATCTCCTTAATGATGGCTTTGGATCCCAAATTGTCTCCATTTTCATTGGCAGACTCAGAATAATTTCTTTATAAATTGACTATTGCCTGCACAGAAAAGGAAACTACAGATCTCAACTTCACTGGTTTTGAACTTCAAAATTACTCATGCAACAAAGATTCTACATAAACATTAAGGACATCAAATATTTCCTTCCTGTCAAAACTACCCCACAATTTATTTTGGTGAACAAATTAATTTAGGTAAAATTCAAGTTTTGAATTTAAAATAACCAAATTATTTCATTTTTACACAAACAATCTTAGCACAAACCAGGAACCATAACTATCGGGAAGATAATCCATATAGCACATCAAATACACCATATAACTTTAAAGACACAATTGGACATAAAATATCAGGCATAATATTCAAATTTGCATAATTAAAATGTCATTCTATATCCACCATAACAAATGGAACTGGTAAGAAAGAAAATTGCAAATTTCCAGAGTCCAAAACTTAGTTTGCCATGAAACAAAAGGAAGTCATAAGTTACAACAAACCTGGTGAATGGGAGGATACATAGCATTTAAGCATACAGGACATTCTAAGAGTTCACGGACACTACTAGGAGCAGTCACAATAGGTTTGGAAGCAACTTGAGGAGAATCATTGAAAAGCTTATTCACTTCAAGCTTATCAACTTTCGTGTGAGGATCGACAACTTCGGGGGATCCTTGCAATTCCTCTAGATAAGGATTTCCACAAGCCATTATCTAACAGTCAGAGGGCCAATTTTTCCTGTATAGAGTAGAAGGTATAGTTAAGTCAATAACTAGCAACATTCTTAATACACCAGAAGAAACTATATCCCATAATTGGAAAACTTTATCTCGCAAAACACAGTGAATTTTTAGTATAGTAGTTAGAAATTGCCAACATTCTAGTGAACTTCAAACATATCAACTCAATGAACAAGTGAGCTGTGTTGATCGTGTATTATGTGTATGAGTGTATGGATAGGTGAGAAATGACTCCATTAAATTTAAAGTACGAAGAGAACTAACAAATAGGAATATTAATATTAAATGAGAGCATGAATTATAATATATATACATATATAATGTTTATATATAGCGTCAACCTTATGGTATAGAAGTGAGGCACCCTTCAAAAACATAGAAGAAAAAGGTTGTTTCAATGCAGACAAATCCTCCAATTAATCATCTTAACCTCAAGATGTGTATGATATGAAGAAAAAAAGGATTTCAAGATTTAAAAATAGTTCAAGACTTAAAAATAGCGCATCTTGTAAAACATTATCTGAACTATCCATTTTCAAGTTTTTCAAGTGTTTATAGATCAGTACAACCTGCACCGTTATTGGAGTTTTAAATTTGATAATTAGGGGTGAAAACAGATTTTCACGTGATTGTAAGTGTCTCCAGCACTGAAATTGCACAGTTTGGAGGTGTGCCTTACTTTGATTGTTTTAGGTGGGCGCCTTATAAACCTCTCTCTCTCTC